CTACCAGTGACCCTTAAGTGCATGGGCAGGCCATGGTGCTGCTGTTCTGGAAGGAGCGGGCCAGCATTGCCACCCCAAGCTCCTCGGCGTCCAGAGCGCACCAGCTCAGTTAAAGCCTGTTTCTCTGGGCCATGCCAACTCCCACCCTGCCAGGAGCCAAGCTTCATCCAGCAGTCACATGAGATTAGGCTGAGCAGACCAGTGGCGTATACTCAAGCCACCACTCTGGAGGCTGCTGGGACACTACCTCGCCGGGCTGGGCCAGGGGACCTTTGAGAAGGATCCTGGGGCTGGCTGTGTGTCCTGGCTGCCCAAAGATAACAGTTGCTTTCACCAACTCCAAGGCAGAGATCAAGTTCAAACAGAGTGGGCCCAGCCCATCAGCTCGAACACAAACTGGGAACGCATCAGAAAGTTCAGGGCAGGGCATGCATGGTAGAATCTCAATCAGCCTTGGCACACCTCGATTCACATTCCACCTTACTTACGTCGGGAAGACAGGCCCAGGCTCCCAGTTCGAGTTCAGGAAACAGAGAGACTCAGAAGATGACACCTTGAGCTCTTCCTCCCAAGTCTGAGCTTCAGGCAGAGGGCAGAGGCAGGGAACCAAACACCTTGGGGTCAGCAGAAGCACAAGGACAGAGGAGAATTTACCCCACCCACGAGGAGGGGAATTCAGGAGGGCCTGGGTGTGCTCAGCCCGTGCTCACTGGGAGGGCGGGCCTGGGGCCTTCAGCAGTGAAGTCCTGCACTCAAGGGACCTGAGGCTTGGACAAAAGTGGACACCAGTGGGTACTAGCCCCAAGTCTCTGAGGACAATCCTCCCTGGAACACAACCCGGAAAGACCTGGATCCCAGAGGTAAGCCATAATGGTACCAATGGAAAATACCCAGCCTCACGCATGGCTTCTTCCCTTTCGTCCTGGATCTGAGGACAATTGTAAAGACAAAAAAACAGCGGACATATCCCAAAGAGGGGTGGGGTTGCTCAGCAAGCCTCTACTGACATGGAAGGGGAATGAACCTTCACCTCCCGGCCTGACAAAGCACTCACGGCCACCTAGAATTAGACTCGTCCCCTCCATTTCACAGATGTGAAGCTGAGGCCCAGGGTAGTGACTCGTCACAGCTCATGAGCAGCCACCTGGCTAAAGAAGAACAGGCTTCCCAGCTCTCTCAGACCTGCTCCTGGCCATGTGCCTGGGGGGGGTCCAGAAGTGGAGGCAGAGATCTTTGCAAAGGGGTGGCGTGGGGCAGGAGGTGTGGGTCAGGCCAGGCTTACAGCTCCTCCCATGAAGTCAAAATGCCTTCTCAGGGCCATCTGGCCCTGCTCCACTTGAAATCCTGCCCTGGCATCCAGGCCCTCCCAACATTTCGGATCCAAGCCAGGCTCATCTGATCAGTCTTTTACCTGGGTCTATGCTCCAGCGCCTTCAACACCTCTGCTGGCCAAATTCCTCAGTAATTGAGCATTTGTCATGGCTGTCTAGACACCTGGACCCACAGGGGGGCTTACTCGGGGGGGGGGGGGGGGTGGCAGATACAGCTGGAAGCACCAAGACACAATTGGCCTTGACATCAGCCCTGCTCCTGGTTTAACTCGCAGTGCTGCCGGGAAGGCTGGCTCCCGAGGGGTGCCACCCACATCAAATAGAGGCTCCT